TTATAGCTTTGACTCTGCTGATACACCAAAAGCGTATATACAACTAAGAAAACAACTAAGCATTACTCCAGATATTCTACTTTAATAATTATAAAAAAGAAAACATAATTATCTTACGAAGATTGTCATATGCATCTATTCAAAGAAGAATGGTTTTATTCAAAAGTAGCATTATAGTTATTTAGGAAAATGCTCTTATGCACTTAACTAAAGATGTAGAAAGTCTAGCGAAAATGTAATTGTATAGAATGAGCACTTGTGTTTTAAGCAAAATGTCTTAAAGTGAACAATTAATTTTGGAATGCAAGGACAATACATCAGTAACTGCGTATAGTTCAAAAATTAAAAGAATGCGAAATATTGAAACTGTTTTGAGAAAAAAAAATGATGTTTTCTATCTCTCGAGAAAAAGGAGTTCTCAACACCGTCGACTGACTTATATTGTGACTAAGTAATCATTTTTATAGTAGTCGCTGTTTAATTGAAATTTCTCAGCAGCGTTCACATTTACGAAAAAAGAAATTTGTCTCATAAATCATCAAAATTCAGAAACTACTGCCTAACAAGAAGGATGCTTTCGAGAGAATATGAAGTTATGAAAAATTCTTTCAAGCTATACAGAGCCATTCATAAGTGAAATGTAGAAATTTACCAAGACATGATGAACGAATTTCGGTAATTACTCATATACCACAAAGAAATTTTTACGTAACGTCGACAACTGCTAAGACACAAGAAAGCAATTTGCAGGTCATTTCCCTAATGACTATCCTTCTACTACGAATTTTCTAGTAAAAGCAACGACCATCAGGGACATAACGGCGATTATAACTACATCAGAATCAATTATTTAACTAATTTTAGACGATACACAAACTTAAAAAAAACAAAATTTCAAGTCGACCATTGAGAAAATCTCAGTAATAATTAGAATATTATAGTAACTACAGGGATTTCTATAATTTCTTTGCTCACAATGCATATACATTAAGAAATAATTGCTTAGAAATAGAGAACCCTACTCGAAAAATCTATAAGAATTTTAATATTTTTCAACAATTGCTTGGAAACCGTAGGAATGACTAGGAAATAGAGAAATTACCAGGAAATGACGGAGATTTCCGTAATATTTTAAACTTTAATGTGTATAGATTAAGAACTACATCTATAGAAGCAGAGAACTCTAGCTAAAAAAACAATCAGAATCTGAAGCATTATTGGCATTTATTGTTCTTCAAGTAAAAAAAAAAATTCGAAAAAAATCTGATTTAATTTGAATTATAATAGTGCCATTTTAATCGATCTTTCATCATAAGAACACGAGCATAGTCACATTTTGTCGACTCTTTTTTTTGTATATGGGATCTATGTAGATATTATCTTTACATCAGTTTTAATCCATTGTTAGACATCAGTATATTTTAATCTGTTATTAGTTTTTTAATCTATTTTAATCTGTTATTAGTTTTTTAATCTATTTTAATCTATTATTAGTTTTTAATCTATTTTAATCTATTATTACCTTGTAATCTATTTTAATCATACATGCCGAGGATAAGTGATTTCCTCGAGATTCGAACGCAAAGCCCCTAATTTTTCATGATTATTTGAATGGCCCGTGTTTAATTACAACCTACGAAGTTGCTACTGAACCGATGTCACCCAAATGTAGTAAAGCGGAAACTTCTGTTTAAGTTGCTTCATATTGTGATGGTGAAATTACAGTAGAAATCGGCTACAATTTTAGTTGATGTTACAAATAATTTGGCGAAAAAATTTATTTTAATTTATTATTTCATTGAATTTAATCAAAATGTGGCGTATTTTATCGATCTTTTGTGATAATTGTTGGAAAATCAATTATAATCTGATATCTTTTGACTATTTTTTTTACATGGACTTTCTAGTTTGAGAGAGTAGAGTTCTCTATACTTATAGATGCAGTTCTTAAACTTCGCTCATCAAAATGAAAGCAATTGTGAAAATTTCCGTAATAACCTAGTAATTCCTGTAATCTCTAAGTAAGAACACAAAATTCTGGAATTTGAATAGTTTTTTTGGGGTAGGGTTGTCTATTTCTATCGATTTACTCTCAATCTATGTACATTAAAACAACAGAAATTATGGAAAAGTTACTTAAAGCATACTTTGTAGCCGAAGGAATGAATATTTATTAAGAAAACCAGCAAATTGATGCGAACAACGAGAGAAAAGAAAATCTAGAATAATGTTCTTCTTCATTAAAAGATGTATAGGAAAATGTCCTTCAATTAATTGAAAGAATAAGCAGAATAGAAAAAAGGAAGACAACCCGATATATGACAAGAGATAAAATGAAGTAGAACAGATAGAAAAGAAAAAATAGAGCAAGAGAAAAAGAAAACGCCAAGTAGTTGTACGTGTATAAAAGCTGCGAAATAATTCTCGCTTTTTGATCACATAAAAGGTAATTTCCGAAATTTGCTATTCATTTCTCTAATTTCATAGTAATCACTGCCAATTCTGAAAATTGTTATAATTGTAGGTGGTAGAATTCTTTATTTGTATACATTTCTTAATCGATATATATTAAACGTAAACAGATTGTGGACATTTCCTTGTTATTCTTGTAGTATCTGAGTAATTACCGAAAGTTGTGAAAACGCCTATGATTTTTCGTGGTAGGAGTATTTATTTATATAGATCTATTTGTTACTTTGCATACAGTAAAGATACTGAAGATAAGGAAATTTTCGTAATCCTCTGGCAATTGCGAAAGATTTTTATAAATATTGGTTGAAAATTTCATGTCGTGTTTTAGTATGCTGCAAAATTGCGAAAAAAGTTCATTGTTGCTTGTTGGCAATTAACGTGATTTTCCTCTATATATGTTGCTTGGTTGTTAGCATTGTTTATATTTTAGTGACAGCTTCCTGATAATTTTTGGTGCAGATGTCTCTTTTTCTGGAAATTAATTAGTAGCGTCCTTGTGGTGTATGAGTCGTTATGAAAAATCCTTGGAAACTTGCTTCTCGTGCTTTGGTAAATCCTGTATGCTCTCTAAAAATTTATAGAAATTTCGAAGATTTCCTATGTCGGAAATCTAAACATGCCTCAACTCGATTTTCTACAAAGTAGAATTTATTTAAAATTTACATTATTGTCATGAATGTCATCATTCAGCATAACATTTGTTGATTCTTTACGAAATATGATTAATAAAATTGGAAAATCTCACCATTCATCTCTTGTTAGATAGGCAGTTGTTGTGATATGCACAGCTTTGTTCCTGTCAGACAATTATTAATCGATTTTATTGTATTAATTAACATCAATCTGGCGAATGTTCCTGTCATAGAATGTTGAAAAAAAAATTGTGAACATTTTCTAATAGTTTTCTAGGCATCATAGACAAATGAATTGTTTGTTAGTAATAGAAAATCTATTGAAGAGACGTTGATATCACATGTCGTGCTCATCAAGAAGCTATTTGTCAAGTGTGATAATCTCTTTTAACACAAAACTCAAGAAGCGAATGGATCTAAAATAATTGCTTAATATGGCAGTCTCACGGCATTACCTGTTAAACATGTTCTGATCTAAATAGAACGGTAAGAGTACGCAAAATATAATTTAAGTTGAACAGAGAAGTGAACACTATCTGAGAGATAGGAGAAAGAAAACCTAAAAAAGAGAACCAAGGAGGCGAGAGCGCGTACTTATCTACTATTCTGTACTTCTTGCCCACTTTTACTTTATATAGATGCTGGTGTTACTGTATCAATTTTTAATAGTTATGCTTATGTGTAAGACTTGAAACTTATAGATAATATACAATAATACGAAACAAAAAATAAAATAAAATGAAGAGAACACAAAAAAATCATAAATTGATGGGGATAGAAATGTACTACACATTCATTTCGTGTGAGGAAGGTTGACGAAGTCCTAGTTTAAAGCAATTCTCTTCATTGAATGATGGTTAAATTTTTTTATTTTAACATTTTGACGTTTTGATACAGCAAGGTGTCCTTCGTCAGAAAATAGAAATGATGAAAGTTTACATAAAATTATAAAATATATGTCTATTTTTCGCTTCGTTCTTCTGTTTGAATAATATATAGTAGTAGCACGGACAAGGCGGTAATATTGGTAAGGAAAGTTTAACTTTCATCTTCTTCCGTGCCACTGTTATATATTATTCAAACGGACGAACGAAGAGAAAAAAAATATACGAAGGACACCTTGTTGTACCGAAACGTCAAAATGTTAAAATAAAAAAATGTACCCATCATTTAAGGAAGAGAATTGCTTGAAACTATGTACTACACATCTTAATGGTAACTATCTGGCAATTCTTTTATAGATTATTTGTGATACATCAATCTCTAGCTAAAAACATAATGATGAGTAGCAATGAAGAACACTGTGCGTAAGTAACTTCGAGAAAAGCATAAGTATACAAATATATATAAGTTCGTTTCAATAAACGTTAAATACGACAAGCAGACAATCAAGATAAATTAGGTTCCGAAAGAGACGAAAAAACACATGTTTAAGTTGGATTTCTTTTTGTTTTTTCAGATGAGGACAGCTGTGATGAGAACTGCCTACGATTCCAAGAGTTTGTTGGTGGTAAAGTCGTTTGCACACTTGAAGAGGTAGTAGACGTAATTGATGGTACACTAGCTGAAAAAAAATGAAAACTTATAATATAGATCTTTGTTGTATTGACGCTGATGATATTGATATGACAACGAGATACAGTGAGGACTCAAAAAAGCATGTACATTTTTGTTTTTACACATAAACGAATAATAAGGATACTCTGAAAATTTTCTCTCATATCGGACTTTGTAGAGCTTTTTTCACTGATCATTTTGGTAAAAAAATGTTTGATTTTCATTGAGTAATGACGATGTTATAGTCAAAATACGTAACACTAATATAAAGTAAGGAAAAAAGTTTAGCACACTTTTAGTATTTGGCTAATTTTTACGCTATTTCACAACATCTGAAAGATGTTCTATATACCATTCGACGCAGAATTTAATGGGCTACATTTTGGTAAAAATCATTTATATCTATATTGCAGTTAATTAATAAAATTTTTTTTTTTTAAATTCCAACTCTTTCATATGAAAGAGCATAAAAACTGAACAAAACTCTATAATTACTATTTGGAAAGCAACGAATTTAGTATGCGTAAAAACAAAAATGTACATGCTTTTTTGAGCCCTCGCTATACTTGCTGATTGCGAAAGGTTTGATATCTTTTGTTTTTCATTCATGTATATCATTGTTTTTGTATGAATACAATTTTTTATGTACAACTGCTTATAAAAGTCAGAGAGCTGTATTTTTTTCATCTTTGCTGCTAATGTTATTAGTCGACTGCAAGTACATTTTACACTGGCTTCAAATTCATTATTTTGGTTGTATGGACCATTTCAAGCAAATCGGAACATACCCTTCTTTCATTTCACTTTAGTTCTTTACAAAAATGATGTTTCTGAATAAGTTCTTGTAGCAGAAACACGTGTTGAAATTTTGGCCCTTTCAGTTTAAATATCTCTCTAATCATATGAGGAAAAAAAAATCAAAAATGTCACAATAGACAGTATGACACGAACTACATCTATGGTAAAATTTTTAGCGAGATCAGAATCCAAAACTTTTCCTGTTAGAAACTGTTTTTCTAGAAATCTCATCAAATCTTGAAACAAAAACCTTTGTCTTACCGTCATCTGAAGATTCTGAAGCAGAACGTGTACCGTTTGAAATTGATTTTAAAAGTTCTTATTAAGTTATAAGAACATTTTTGATTTGTATATTAATTCTCTGTCATGTCGCTAACGAAAAGTAAATCGAATTTTTTGAAAAATCCAGCAACGCTCAGAAAAAACTTTTAAGATAGAGATTTTGTAGCGTCAAGAGTTGCCTAGAGTATATACTATTTAGTTTTCAAAAATAGAGTCCCAATTTGAAGTTTTTTTTACCATTAAACCGCATGACAGGGAACTCGATATTTTTGTTTGAGTCACGCCGGTAACTCTTTTATCTTACTGATAACTTCTCTGAACAAAGGTCTTTAACTCTGATTTTTCAGGGTATCTGGAGTAACTTCATGTAATGACAAACAGGAAGAGTAGCTCACCGCCATCCTCGGTAATGATATTTATTGAGCTAATTCATATCTTCAGAATGTGACAACTTCATATACAACATACGCTTATTTAGAACAGAGCAACAGAGATAGAGATGAGTAGAGAAGACAACAATATGACTAAGATAAATAGAAAAGGAAGATCAGTGGGAGACGATATCAACATCAGCACAATTAACTTACATATAACATGTAAAAACTAGCTCTAGAAAAATTCATTATTACGATATACAGTGGCGCTCAAAATTGATCGTACAGCTAACGAGTGAGATTGCGTCCGTAAGGTTTCCACAACCGCACATCCTTTTGAGCTGCGGTTTTCAATAAAATGTAGCTTAGTGCTCATAGTCGTTGTTCACTGGAACCACTCCCGATCTATCAACTACTTGATGTGGTAAAAGTTGAAAAAGATAAAATTATGATTTTTCAATTTGGTTCAAAATTGGTCGCACACTAATTTTTTTCTGAAAAATAACATCTTATTATTACAATACCAAAATAATCAAGTTAGATTCAAATATAAATTTTCTAATTGTAATACGAATTCTCTATTAGAAGTGAAACAATGGTGATATTATGGCGATCTGTTGGCTTCAATAAGAATTGAAAGCAAATATTAAATTCTTATTCTTGTCAAATTTTTTTATACATGTATGGTCTTTAGTTTGCAAAAAATTGAATCAATTCAGAGTCTTATTATAAACCAAGGTGGTCATATCCGACTAATCGAACGAATGAGATCTTTGTTATATCTACCCGGTATTTGTTCGGAGATGGATATGGATGTGGGGTGTGTGGGTGGGGTACGAGATGAGGGTGTGTCGCTGCGGGCAAGGTTGCCTCTGAGTGTGGGTGTGAGTTTTATTAAGAGAATATTCACATCCACACTCAATTTAAATATTGGTTCAACAAATGGATTACACAATACAATTCATTATCAATTAATAATATAGATGAAGATAATAATGATATCGTAATAATTGATGCTCCTTCATATGATCCAACATTAATTTTACCGACTCAAATGATGAACGACAAAAAATTTCATTCATATGAATTATGGAACTTAGAAGACGCCGTAACCTATACTTTTGGTCTGTATTTATCTAAACTTGAAACTTTACGGCGATGGTCGATCGGTCTTCATGTTAATTTATGTATACGTGACACATCATTTTCATTTAATTATCGTCACAAATTAGTTAAATATACTTGTCTTGATTGTATTACTGTGGCTCATTTAAATTTATTCATGCAACAATCAAACATTCCACTTGATCTTAAATTTGCACATCAGGAAAATATTTCAGGCGAATATAATTTGTCAAATAATTTAAGTGTCGTCCCAGATATATTTCAGGTCTATGAAGAAAGTTCATTATCTTCAATTGAACAATCTGACAAACCACTGGTGGCCGTTCATGTTTTTAATGAACGCCATTAATGTACAACATCAATTATTCAAATGGATTCTGATTATAACGAAAATAATGCTATTGACATTATTCCAACACTTCGTCGTCCTCCATATAAAAGATCGCTTATTGCAAAACGAAAACGAAACCAAAAGTGGAGTATTCGACATAGGAAGAACCGTTATAATTATCAAATGGTACGTCCGACGAATATGAAGATTATTTCTATTAAAAAATTATTACGGAACAACAGCACTAGATACATGAAAATCAATGTGACCCAATCAATTCTTTACATTGATGTTAAATCAGATGACCATAAAAAATTATACAAACAGCTATTGGCGTCCGATATTTTAGTATAATTTTTTTTGTGTGGGGAGGTGTTATAATCTGCCATCTATTTTACATAGATGACTGATCCTTCTTAGATAAAGTGTATTTTCTTTTCTAGTGCATGCTTGAATGTGATAGGTTATGGCCAGAGATATCCAGTTAGTGTGTGTGTTTTGTTATTGTTGATATATCTTTTTTTTTCTTTATCGTGTTAAACTTCTTGTTCTTTTTTTGTATGGAAGTTTAGGTCCTTGCGTCATCATTTATAAAAATATTAAATAAAAAGGTGCAAGGATCCTAACACTCATGCATTTCAAACAGGGATGTGGATGTGGATGTGGGTGTAGATGGGTGTGTGTGTGAATGTTTATATTCTACTCAGGCACACCCACACCCACATCCTTTCCTGGGGCATTTTGAAAAAAAATAGTTGTTGTCGCACATGAATCGCTTCACGTAAGCTTTATATGTATTTTTGTGAGAGCAAAGCATAACATGAACAATAGACGAAAAAATAGCTCAAAGTGAAGAACGTACCAATGTGATAATTATCCGGCGGGTTCTTGCCCTATATGGGGACCTGAATGAGCGACCTTGGTATTGAACAAATAATAAGAATTATCGAAATAATCAACTTTCGCAGATAGATTTGTAGTGACTAGTGACATAAAAACTTGTAATTGAAATCCAAACTAGAAGGTCTCATGGCAATGCTCATACAAGCAAAGTATATCAAAGTCTACAAAAACCAAATTTTTCACAATCTAAAAAACGAAAAAAGAAACTTCATACTTTTTTCTGTCACAAGAAATATTGAACAGCATTTCACAAACAGATAAGCGATACATATGCGTACAATTTCATCATCTTACACAATTTACGAAAGAATGGGAAAAGAAAAAAAGACACCCTCACACCCTCACCAGTTTCTTCATACGAGATAGAATTCAGTATGATGTGCAATATGATTCTTTTGATCAGCTGTAATCAAATGAAATATCATCTCTGATGTTCAAGTAACTCACTAAAATGGACAATACAGCTATGCAAATCGTCGACAGATTGTTGATTAACCGATTGAATATTATTCTGCATCAATTGCATGGCTCGTTTGTAATTGTCCAAAGCTAATACATAATTATCCATATGAGAGTAACAGCTACCGATCATGGTATAGATACTTGCAAGATCAGGATGATCAGAGGGTAGATAGCTCAAGCTCACTTTGAGTGCTTCATGTAAGTGGCCGATAGCTTTGTTGTGTTCGCCTTTATACATGAAAATACTGCCAAGACCTTTCTGCATAAGACTGAGTCGATGTGGACGATTG